AAAAAAAAAAAGAAGAAAAATATCTATCTACCTATCTACTTCGTTCGACCTGCGTCAAAGGGAACTCTTTGTTCTTCCACGAGAAGATCCTCGATTCCCTGGCGCGCAGAGCGAGTTAAAATTTATCATCTAATGTTAAATAAACTAACGATATACAATAATACTTTCTCTCTCGAGAGTGGTATACTCGAATACTAGTAAAGGAAGAGGACGAAGAAAGACTGGGTCAAAAGGGACCCCTTCGGTCGAAATACCGTACGATGACTCGTGGGAATGCATCGCCGGTTACCAAAGCTGTCGTGAATGCCGCGGCATTCTAAATGCACTCTTGTCGAACGATTGTTAGAGACTGCATTGAAAATCTTCTGCCATGTTCCAGTTCTCCCCAGTTTGCACGTCTAGTGATTTGAAACTGGTTCCTAGATCTTTATTATGGTTCAATCAAACGTTCCCGAGTGGTTCCGTATAGCAGCTGAAAAACAGTCTTGTGTCGCAATTGTCATGGGACAACAAATGCACTGGCAGATTAGGTGAATATACTTCGTGGCAATTGTGATGTATATATAAATCGGGCAGATACACTTCTGCTCAGAAGTTTGGGACATTATTTTTATCTTAGTATTTTCTTGAGAAATATGAATATTTTTTTTCTGAATTATGTAACTTTCGTTTTTAAATATAACTGAGCCGTTCACGGACCAAAGTGATTAACACAGTTTTTTGGTCTTTTTTTTTTTAAAGGTCTTTTGTATCAAAGTACTTGATTAATCCCTAACTTTTTACATATGAAATAATTGGGCTTAATATCAGTGACAAAATTTCTTTCATGGAATAATGAATAACTTATTTCAGTAACTACTAAAATTGTTTCAAGGGTATACTGTACTATACATATTATTAGGTAAAAGCTGTAACAATCCATATTCCATAATTCCAGTTTATTCAAATTTCGAAGGAAATTTTAAGGAAGAATATACTATTTTCTCACGTTCTCTATTTTTTCTTTCGCGGAGTCAATCGATTTGGCAAATAAACGACTCAATTAATCCTCAAGTAATATCATTGAATTAAATGACCAA